CCCGGAGGGGGTGGGTGGTTCTTTTTGTGCTCAGACACTTTGCACATTGCCTCCCACCCAGCTCCTCCCGAGTGCTTTTGTGGCTGGTGGAGACCTATTATGTGAGCTGAGTATTTGACCCCATCTCCTTGTTTGTTTCCATAGAACTTAAGCACAGCATTCTCCTTGCTAATTATTTTTTCCTAGTAACATCAATGTGAGTACATTTCCCACCCTTCCTCCCTGTGCCTCATGTGTCCTGAATTCTGCTGGATTAATTTAACTTGAGCCTTAAGAGGCAGCAAAGCCGAGGGCAGGTGGCCCAGATCCAATCTTTGGTTCCTGCGTCATAATCATAATCACTGGCATTGACATGGTGCTTTGTGGTTGACAAAGCACTTCCACACTCAGTAGCTCTCCAGAATGACAGAAGTCAAGGCCTCTGGGGTCTAGTGACATCCCCAGCATCTGTGTGCCTAAGAAGTAAGGCCTGGGTTTGATGCTAAATCCCCTCCTTACCGTTTGTTACAGCTCTTACGGGGGTTACAAAGTCAGATGCCCTTGGGTCCAGGTAAATAATCAAATGAGGGAAGTTGGCTGGGGTAGAAAATGGTAGGGGCTAGTGAGGACTAATGGGAATTGGAGAACATGCCTTGCCTAAAGGCGTGGAAACGCAATACGTTCAAAAAGCAATTTAAAAACCCATTTATTTTATCACCTACTCGATGCCCAGTCTGCAATCTATCTTCTGCTGGTGGAAAAGGGAGAGCATATGGACAGTGTCCCCTTTGCCACTGAGTAGCGTGACTTGGTGGCATGGGTAAGCGCCCCTTGGTTGCAGTAGGTGTCCAGTGTCGATGAGGCAGTCTGGTACTGTAGACCTGAGTGAGTCGCTTGCTTTTAGGGTCATATTACCGACTGAAGGATGTACGGATCTTGGTCTACCCATCATCTCCCCTCCCTCCAGAGTTTTCAAGGGATGAGATTCAAAGTAATATTTTATTAATGGTTGTGCGGGTCCCTGATGCCCCGACCCACAGCCCTTGTCAAATGTTCTACTCCTTCCCCACTTCTTTCTACCTGCTCTCATCCCTTTTTGAAATCATGGGACTTGGTTGCTCAGGTCTATATTCTGAGAGAAAGAGTGACAGTGACAGAGACAGAGGTAGTCAGGGCCTTAAAGGAACCCCAAGTTCATGTTCTAATCCAGTGCATGGGACCCAGAGAGTAGAGAGGAAGAAGATGGCTCGTGCCTTTAAGTAAAGAAAGCCGGCCCATCGGTAAAATGTGGCCCAGTGAAGGTCATGGGCTTTGGCCAATCAGATAAAAACTCCTCTTTTGAGGGGAGTTAGGGGGCGGGCATGGCCTGAGGCGCCAGCATGGGACCGGGGCTCAAGGGTATCCCCTACTCTGAGTAGAACAGGTTAAGATCGTGGCTCCAGAGAGAGCAGCTCTGCTGCCTACTAGCTCTGTGACCTTGGCCGGGTGATTTCACTTCTTTCCTCATCATCTTCATCCATAAAACTTGGGGAAGTGCAGTGGTGATGAGGATTAACTGAGATAAGTCGTGCGTATCAGTAAATGTTATTTTTGTTTTGAGTTCTGCCTTCTAGCGATACTCATCTTCATGTTAGTTAGAACCCCAGGACGCCTTCAAATGTTGCCAGAAGGAATATGGAAAGAATAATTCATAGAATAAGAAACTACAATATTCTGCCAATATTTTCCTCTTCAGAACTTGCCACTTGTCCGAATGCCCTGATTCTACCTTTCTTTCCTCCAGTTCCATACCCTTAGATGGTCCCAGTGAGCTGGAATCCTGGACAAGGTAGCTGGGGTTCTGCTGGCTAAGATTCGGCTCTCAAATGCACTTTTTGTGAGGTGTAACTGTGATTTTTGCCCAAATACTCCAGCTTAACTGTTGTTCAGTTGAAATTTTTGCTAAGTAGTTGTTTTCCCATCTGGCTTTTCGTGGGACAGAAAATTTAAGAAGGTAGATTCTTTTATTCAAACGCAACATTGCTGTACTTACCCAGTCAATAGTGGACTGAAAGTCCCCCTCCCCAGCCCCCACCAGTCTTTAGAATTTGTTTTCTTTGGTGTGCCTCACTTCTACTAATAAAAAACAGTTCATAGTGGATATTGCCTAGGCATAGAATCAGGTTCTTGTTAATGTGAAGAATTAGGTTCTTATCAATGGCAAAAGTAGCATTGAGAGGCTATATGAAATGCTTATAGACTCTGATTTATTCTTGGTTTTTAGCCACATAATGTGCCTGTTGAGACCAGTTGACAGAGTAGGAGGTTCAGCATGGAAAAAGCATGGTAAATTCTGAAATGCAGATAATTCACAAATTACAGGTGTTTTATTATTTTTTTTCAAAGATTTTATTTAGTTATTTGACAGAGAGAGACACACAGAGAGGGAACACAAGCAGGGGGAGTGGGAGAGGGAGAAGCAGGCCTCCCACTGAGCAGGGAGCCCAATGCGGGGCTCGATTCCAGGACCCTGGGATCATGACCTGAGCCGAAGGCAGACGCTTAACGACTGAGCCACCCAGGCGCCCCTATACGTGTTCTACTATGGAGTCAGCTATATATTCTTGGATGATCTCTTTCCCTCCCCCAGACAACCCTACCCCAATCTTCTCCTTTCCCCACATCTGTGGCCATCCTCTCCTACCTAAACCCGGAAGGAAAACTCGATGGTAATGAAGGGTACCATCCAGGAAATTATGATACCCAGGTTCTAGTTCCGGCTAGTTACTACCAACTGAGGGGTAGTCATCCCTCTGGGTCTCAACTTCCTTATGTAGAAAGTAGGAGACTGGGGCCAAGGCACCTGGGACTAAATGAGCTCTAAATTTTTATTACTCCGTGAATCCCACCTTTGCCAGCTTGGGGCCTGGCAGTTCTCAGCAGCTGGTCACTTGGATAATCCCCAAAGCAGGTAACTGCATGCAGGATAACTGAGAATGGACTATAATCACAGCAGAGGCCAGCCACTCAAATAGATGCTGGGGCCTTTGGCTGCTTCTCGGAGCCACCAGCCAACCCAGAGATGAAGCTGGCTGGAAAAGTGGATGGATGTGTCGGAAAGGCCCGTGTCATCTCCAAACACAGTGTCTGGGAAATGCCCATGTCCCAGAAAGAGGTCCCCGAAACCCTTCAGCTGGTGGTGCAGTGCGAAGAGTCAGGCAAACCAGGTTTTGAACCCTGACTTTGCCACTTACACCAGCTGCATGACCTTGGGCAAGCTCTCTGGCCAAGCGTTCTTCTCCATAGAATGGGGGTAGCAATATATCTACCTTGCAGAATTGTAGTAGGATTGAGGTACTGCGGAGGCCTAACACTACCTACTCAGTACAGGTACTCAGAGGTACTTAGTAAATGGTGGTAGTAATAGTTATAATTTATCCTGTGCCCTTCATTCACGGGAGTCTGGCGTGGAGGTGGAGGAGCGCGGCGCGCCCCCCCCCCCACCGTGTCTGGCTCAGGGCTCCTCCCCCCACGGCTGGGAGGCATTGACTCCGTGCCACGTGCCACCGCCCAGCGATGCTGCTGATTGGAGCGCTGATTAAATCCCCTGATTGAGGAGCCTCCGCATCCTGGCCCACAGCAGCGCCAGCAGCATTTAGCACAATCTGCTTGGACCCCTCATCGAGTTGTTTTTTAGAACTGCCCTTTTCGGGCGCCTGGGTGGCTCAGTCCTTAAGTGTCTGGGTCCTGGGATCCAGCCCCGCATCGGACTCCCTGCTCGGCGGGAAGCCTGCTTCTCCCTCTCCCACTCCCCCTGCTTGTGTTCCCTCTCTCGCTGTTTCTGTCAAAAAAAAAAAAAAAAAGAAAAAGAAAGAAAGAAAAAGAAAAAGAAAAGAAAACTGCCCTTTTCAAGGTCTTGTCCCCTTCCGTCACCTCTCTTCGGCCCGGTCTCTGTGGGCCCGTGCCAGAGAAGGGAAGTAAAGCGATGCCGGGCTTTCCTCCCTCGTCCTCCAGAGAGAGGGAGACAGGAGGCAGGTAGAGGCAGCTTTCCGGGCAGCAGATGAGGCTCACACAAGCCCTGGCCACGCAAGGCGGCTGCAGCCCCCTCCGGGAGGCTAAAGTCTCCGCGGGCGCCCGGCCGATCCCCGTTTTTCTGGCCAAGCCGGGGTCCCAACTCAAACCTGCCTCTTTCTCCATCCTGTGTCCCGACAGCTCGGCAGCGCTCTGCCGGGAAGCGCGATTAAAGTGGCACTCCGTGGGGGCGCCTGGGTGGCTCAGTCGTTAAGCGTCTGCCTTCGGCTCAGGTCATGATCCCAGGGTCCTGGGATCGAACCCCGCATCGGGAGGCTCAGTGGAGAGCCTGCTTCTCCCTCTCCCACTCCCCCTGCTTGTGTTCCCTCTCTCGCTATGTCTCTCTCTGTCAAATCAATAAATAAAAAATCTTTAAAAAAAAAAAAGTGGCACTCCGTGTATTTTTCCAGCTTCTTAGACCCACCTGGTAAAAATAAAATAAAATAAATAAAGGAGCCCGGGATGGAACGGTCGTTATTTTTCAAAAGGTCGAGAGGGGCGGTCACATGACCGAGTAACCGTTTCAGCGAAGTGGCTGCAAGTCCGCGTTTGCTGCAGAGCCGCCCCCTCCCGGCGGGGGCGCTGACGTCACGGAAAAGCCCCGGCGCGGGCCGGGCGGCGCGCTATAAACGGCGGGGCCGCGGCGGCTGCGGGCGGCGGCACGGACGGCGGGCACGGCGCGAGCACCGAGCGCTCGGCGGCCCCGGCATCGTAGCCCGCACCCACGCAGCACACGCGGCCTCGCGGGCGCCCACCCGGCCGAGCCAAGTAAGCGGGCGGTTTGGGAAGGGGGTACCCCCGACGCCGGCGGCGGGGGGAGTGCGCGGGCACGGAGTGGGCGTTCCCGGCCCGCACAACTTTCTAAGTTGAGAGCAGAGGCCCTGGAACTTGCCGTGCGCTCTGTGGTTTTCTGTTCGGGGGCGGGGGGCAGAGTTTAAGGTGCAAAGGATGCCATTTGTATCAGGTTCCTTAGTTCAGTTCAGTAGGAAGGTCACCTCCTCCTGCAGACTCTGTGGTCAGAGGGCAGCCCTCGCTTGATACGTCATGCTTTTGTTGTTCGAATGCCAGCCGGCCAACTGAGGCACGGCTTAATGAGATTGAAAAACCGACGGTCATCCCCGTTAGTGGCCGGCGTGCTGGGGTGTGGAGTGTGGGTGTGAGTTTGGGAAGAGGAGTGTGCATTTCTCACTCTCACGAATGATCTTGCTTATGAAAAATGAGAAGGCTTCTGCTTTATGTCAAGTAGCCCGAGAGAACAAACCTCCGTGCAAGGGGATGGAGGCTTGCAAAGGGAAAGTTGGAGCAAAGTTGTTCCATGGCATTTAGGAGGGTCTTTGGCCTTCTGATTTTCCTCAGGAAGGTTGAAGAACTCTCGGAGTGGACGTGGTTTAGTGAGAGTGAAGCATTTTCTCTGCCAATTTGATAGGTCCGAACGTGAGCAGGTCATTTCCCTGCGGGAACAACAGGGCTTGGGGCTGGGATTTTTGAAACATGATGTCTGTGGGCAAGAGGGCAGAGCTGAGGCATGAACCTCAGACAGAAATTCTTTTTTGCCCCCAAATAATAGCTTATTCGGGCAGCTGGAGAGCATCAGGGCAACTTTACTAAACATGGAAGTTCCAATAAGTGCTTGTCCAGTGCAGCCAGAGGGAGTGAGGTCATTGCCACGTGTTTGCCACCCAGGCACGGAAGCCCGCTGGACGCTGGTGCAATGAAGAGCCATGTTTAGACAAGAGCAGCTAACCTGGCCGGCCGGTCCCCAGCTCCATTAACTTGTTGCTTTTCGAGCCCTCTCCGAAGGCTGCTGGTTTGCTCGGGCTGCCCGTGTGTCAGTGCCGAGTGGGCTTCCTGAAGGCTCGCTCAAGGATGGAGGAAGCAGGGGGGCAGTGGGTGTTGTTCACGGTACTTCTTTCTTTTTGTGAACGACAGTCTGCCTGAGGAGCTGGTTACTAATTGAAAGCCTCTTGGATTTGGGGACAGTTTCCTTGGGGTTCCGATATGTCAGGGTTACTTGGGTGTCACCCCATCTGCTGAGGTGCCACTGATGACTGACTGTGTGGTGAGCCCCCCAGGCTCCCGCTCACTGATGTGTGCCTCTCGGCTGCTCTGCTCTGCAGGACCCAGCGATGACCCTGAACAATGTCGCCATGCGCCAGGGCACTGTGGGCATGCGGCCGCAGCAGCGCTGGAGTATCCCGGCTGACGGCAGGCACCTGATGGTCCAGAAGGAGCCCCACCAGTGCAGTCAGCGCAGCCGCCACTCCGCTGGCCCCGAGGACCACTGCCGCCGGAGCTGGTCCTCTGACTCCACAGACTCCGTCATCTCCTCTGAGTCGGGGAGCACCTACTACCGGGTGGTGCTCATAGGGGAGCAGGGGGTGGGCAAGTCCACTCTGGCCAACATTTTTGCAGGTGTACATGACAGCATGGACAGCGACTGCGAGGTGCTGGGAGGTAGGTGGCCCAGCCCCAGTGGGCTTCTGTCCATCAGCGGTGGTCCAGTCCGAAAGAGCGAGGGGGTGGGTCGTTTATCTGCAGAGGTGGGAGCGGTGATTATGCGTCCCTGGCACTGCCTGGGGAAGCTGAGTCCCCAGAAGAGCCCTGGCATGGGGCCTCAGGACGGGAAAATGGAAATGCTCCTAGATGGAACCCGGGCCAGAAAGGGAATTTCTTAGATACCAGCGCCGCGGGGACTGGGGGGGTAGACTAATTAAAGAGGGCAGAGTCAGAGGGTCAGGATCCCACTTCTGGCTTTTGCCAACTCTGACCTGGACTTTTCAAGAGCTCAGTATGGACACAGCTTTTTTGCACAGTTATACCTAAAACCAAACAGATTTGAAAAGCTATTAGGGTAAGTTCATCAGTTTCCACCATTATTAGAGGCTTTTGAGGGCGTAAAATAGTTTAATATCTATATTTGAAATAGTGCAATATTAAATTTTTTTTAAGTATAACAGTGGTGATACATGTGTTTGTATATGTACAGGTTTTCAAGACAATGTTCCATGTACAATCTCACTTAAAATATTTAAGACTCGCCTGTTTGCAAAACGGATTTGAGGTGACGTAGTCACAAAAATGCATGTGTTCCTCAGATACATGTATGAGGATCCTGATCATCAGTGGTATTCATACAGTTGACTTTCAGCCACAGCTTCCATCTTAGCGTACGTGACCAGGGGAGCTACAGATCCTTATCTGCAGCTATAGACATAAAGGAAGAACCTTCCAGTGCTTGCCCGAGTGGCATGGTCTGTACTCTCACTTGCAACTCACAGCTGAATCACAGACTCCCAGGGTAGGGAACTGCCTTAGTGATGAGTTGGTTCTGCCCTCTGCTTGACGCACAGGAGTCCTGCTCCTTCCTCCCTCCTGTCAGCCCATTTTGGCCAACCGTTGCTTCTTGATTGTCTCCAGGGTCAGGGAGTTCACTGCTTCACGTGGCAGCTCCTGATCTGGACTGTAAATGATGACTCATTGATAGAACGTTGATTTCTCTCCTCACTTCTGGAATCTCAGGGATAGCTAAATGAGAGTCAAGGAGAAATAGGGTCAGTATTGGAAGGCTGATTTTCTCTGTAAAGGCTGGTGGGCGACTGTTGGTATAGGAGAAAGGGAGGGAGGAACGAATATCTAGAATGCATGTTTGCAGTGGGAGAGGCGCTTTATTGGGTACCTTGTATCTGCTACTGTTAATTTTGGTACTTATAAAATTCCTGTACTCATAGGAGTAAACTGAGTCTCAGGGATCCCAAGTAGCTTACCTAGAATCAGTGGGGTAGCTGGAATTAGAGCTCAGGCCTTTGTCATCTTAGTTCCGTGGTGTCCTTACACTGCCATTGACAGGGAACCTGCTATGTGCCAGACACTCTACGAAGTACTTCTCCTAAGTTTTTTCTGATAAAACAAAAATCGAGCCAATTTTGTATTAATATCCCTGTTTTACAGGTGGAGAGATGGAGGCTTATGACATCACGTCACTTTCCCAGGGTGATAAAGCTAGCCCGTGGTCTGGCCGGCAGTCAGACCTGGTTGTGTGCATTCACTGTGCCCACCAACCCCTGGGTTTGGCGTCCACGTGCTGGTAGTGTCAGGTGCACACCTGGCTCTGTGCCAGGCTCCGGGGTACCCAGTGACGTGTAGGATGCAGGACACCCTCTCAGGAACAAGTGAAGTGTCAGTGGCTGTAATTCAGAGCAGGGTGAAATTGGTGAATACCGTAAGAAGTAACAGGAAAGTGTTTCGGGAGATTGACGGAAGGAAGAGATCAACCAGGAGTCTTGTTTTTTGAGGGAGGTCTTGAAAAATTTAGTGGGTAGCAGACTTTCAAAAATGTCCATTCGAGTGGAGTGGTACCTCTCGGGGGGTGGCATCATCCCCATAGGCATAGAGTGTTAAGAAGACCGACTCATACCTGGAATCTGGGAAGGCAGGCTTCGGTATTTGGGAGAACTCTTTATTTAAAGTGGGGAGGGAGAGGGAGAATGCTTACCTCCTCAGAGAATCTTGGGCAAGAAGCTTCTCCATTGACCCATCCTATCTAATGTGTCCTATTTGAGTAACTTAATTTATACTGTCTAGGATTACATCTCTTATCTGTAGGCAGCTGTTGGAACCACTAGGGGCCTCATGTTTCCAAAGAAGAAGGTTTTCCAAGGCATGCCCCCACATTGTTCTTTTTTCAGCATTAACCATAAAAAAAAAAAAAATCCTCTATACAATACTCTCATCAGATTTTCTTCTAATAAAGATGGATGTTGTTACAGCTATATTGCAATAATCTTATGACTCTCTCTACACATTTAATGCCATTCATTTATTCATCCCTTCATTCATTCCTAAATAGTTAGTGAACATACACCATGTAATTCAGTGAATCACTACGGGGATGTGCAAAGAGTTCTAGGGCTTCCCCCTAAAGATGCTTACAGTATGTGCGATAGAGACGGATGTACACCATCTGTACACCAAGATCGGGTGTGATGAGTGTTTTGAAAGAGGTACAAGGACAGTGCTGTGGGAAATCAGAGGAGGAAAGATTACTTTTGGCTGTGGAAATCAGGAAGGGGTTCATGGAAGAGGCGGTCTCGGAGCTGGACCCTAAGAATGCCTGGGGCTTGGAAGGCCTGAGGTGGGTGGGAAGGTATGGCACCTGCACACGGAGAGTCTGGAAGGAGCACTGGGCTTCAGGCTGTCGGTGTGGGTTGGGAGCCCAGCTTGGATTCGGACGTAGCTGAGCGCTCTCGCACAAGGGACTGACCCTCGTCAGACTTCCCCGTTATTGAAACGGACCATCCCTGCTTCACAGGACATTAGAGGAGTCAAGGAGAGAACATATACTAAGCATGTAGCCCAGTGCCTGGCATGTAGAAGTACGGAATGAATGAAAGAGCCGATTCTGAATCTACCGTTCCTTTCCCTGGACTTACCTTCTCAAACTGGCACTTCAGTCACTTCTGGTCCCCATCCACTCTCGTCCTACTCCTGGCCAGGGCCCTATGAGACGCTGCAGGAGGCGAGGACAGTGTTCCTAGAGCAGGTGTTCCTTCAGGGCCTGTTGGCATCTCCTGGGCTAGGAAAGCTGAGAGCCATTGAGAGTTTTGGGGGAGAGGGATGTTGGAGCCTCAGAGCTTTTGAGAGGCTGCAGGAGCCCGTTGCAGCGTGAGAGAGAATGCCTGTGCAGGTCCCACACGGCACTGGAACCAGTCCTGGGCCGGGGGGCCCTCCACGCACAGTGGGGGTCAAATGAAAGGTTAAGGTGTGCTAGTCCAGGGAAGATAGCGACGGTCACCCAGTCATCGGAGCTCCAGCCTACCCCCTGAGGATGATCTCTCATTACACAGAGTGTGCAAGTGCACCCCCAGAGCATGGGAGAAAAGAGGACTTCCCCAGACCCAGGATCCTGAAAAGCCCTACAAGCTAATAGGCCTCAACCCTTTCTCCACACACCTCAACCCAGGGCAAATTTCAAAGGACTCAGTGCTTAACCGACTGAGGCACTCAGGCGCCCATAGAATTCATATTCTTTTATCTCCCCTCTCCCCACCTGATTAGCTCTTGAGAAGGCTAAAAAGTGAGTGACAAGGGGAGGAAGAGAAACTAGAGCTTTGGGTGCAGGCAGGGCCCTCTCCTGGTTAGCCGAGGGCCAGGAAGCAGGATGCTTAGTGTTTCTGAAGAATCCGTGGGCCTGGTAGCCAGAGGCAGTATGTAAACCTAGGTGTGGGTCACACGCAGTGAAGCAGGGTGGAGACACGTTGTTTTCGGCTCCTGGGTTTGCCGCACGATTTTCAGGCAAGGGTAAGTCCAGGAATCTTGGCAGAACAGCAAAGCAGTTAGGCATCTACTTTTTAAGTTGTAATCCTTAAACCACTTTTTCTCTAGGCTGATGTTCTGATACCTCGTGAACCAAGGGAAAGTTTGGGTTTGCTTTTTCCCCTAGCTATTGCAGTGTGGTAGGTATGTTTCTCTTTGAACTGCTGGGGACCCTGGTGAATCCCTTGTACCTGCTTTTGGGTGGTGAGTGGTAGGCTGAGGACAGAGAAAGTGCTGTTTTGGATTTCCTGAGCACAGGGAAAGCTTTTAGAGAAAAGAGAAGAAGCCCAAGGTAGCAAGGGGCAGTCAGCCGGCCCCCCTTCTGTGCTGCTTAGGCTCTGACCATTTCCATTTGGCTGTATAAATATGCTGTTGAGTCATACTCTGTCATACTGTGCAGTAAGCCAGATTGTGCATCGCACTGTGATCCCAATCATGCTGCAAGTTGTGCATGGCAGACAGGATGGGCATAAAAGACTTTTAATCCCCCAGTGGGGACACCGTTACCATTGCTTAGAATGATACCTTGTGGAGGCAGGGAGACTGACAGAAAGACAGAGCCATCCCATCCCTGGTTAACTTTCTTCTCATTTGTCTGTGTTTTCTTTCCTTTCCCTCCCCTGATTGCATTTCCTAGATGAAGAAACATTTAAACAGGAGCATTACTTTTAATAAACCCCTTATTCCTATAAAATAAGAAATGCTCTGGTTTCCCCAAGTGGCACTTTTAAGCTGGCTTTTAGCTATGGTAGGAAATGCCACGTGTGGCAAGAACCAGCCTCCTCCATCCGAACAAGTGAGGACAGCAGCTAATATTTATTGCCTTTCTACTTTGTGCCCAGGCTTAACATAGGTAATGGTCATGCGGCCTTAAGGCATGAATACGGTTATCAGTCCCATTTCGTAGATGAAGAAGTTGAGGCCCAGAGCACTTCAGTGGTCCAGAGGCACATAGTTAAAAAGGGATGGCATCCAGATTCTACTCAGGCGTGCTTGTGCTTATATCCCCAGTGCTGTGGTTCTCATTCATTCATTCATTCGATAAGCATTTGCTGCCCACCTGAAGTATGCTGAGCGCTGCCCTACATGGGTGGGGGGGGGTGCTGGGGGTATAGCAGTAAACATCACAGATGCAGATCTCTGCCTTCACGTTCTGGGGGTGAGAGGGACAGAAAATAATAAATGGATTGCATGTTAGGTACCTTTAAGTACGATGAAGAAAAACTGGAAGGGAGTAAAATATTGGTAGGGAAGATGTATTGCAAGTTTAAGTAGATGGTGAGGGAGCGCTTTTGGAAGGAGGTAAGGGCGCAAGCCTTTTGGATTTTCCAGGGAACAGATTTAAGGCAAGAGGAGCAGCAAGAAAAATGGTAAAAAAAAAAAAAAAAAAAAAAAAAATCACTATGAAAATCATAATTTTCAAATGATGAAACTCAAAACAGGAAACCTCACCGTGAAAATAGAGTGGGGATGGGCTTCTTTGTATGCAGTTGATGGGAATCACTTCTGCAAAATCCCAGTTAACTCAGCCAACCCTCCCCCCCAACTGATTTCTGTGGGCTGGAGCTGCTCTGGCCCCTCGTACTGCTCACCCTTCACCTATACTCAGACTGGGCTCAAGTACAGGGAGGAAAGTTTCCATTACCAAGTGGAGCTGGAGGCTGCACTTAAGGCTGTACTTAAGATGGAAAAAGAAAAGCCTGTTTATTCCTAGGGAACTGTACTTTTTTGAGGGAGCAAACCTCAGCCAAGACAGGGACAGTCTCAAGGTTTTTTTCTTGCGTGTCTCAAAACAGGAAAAATGTCTCTGAGCCCAGAGCTCCTGAAATTGCCAGTGAATGTCCAGTAATCCCCCCACTGAAAGGTACAGTGAATTTCCATGTAAGGCTTACGAATGAGGCTTATGGTTCCCTTGGGTGATTCTCAAGCCATCATCCATTGAATCGGAGTCAAAAGCTCTCAGTGAGTTTATCCTTATAGATGGTTTCCCTAGAGCAAAGGTCTAGGAATGATGAAAACGAAAGCCTTCATTTCAAGTGGCTCAGTGAGACATATTCAGAAGACATAGGTGTTCTGCTCAGGAAGTACTGGAGGAACATACGTAGAACGTTGTGGAAGGTGATTAAGAAATAGTAATTTGCCTTTGTGAGTATCTGCATATTTGCATAATTAATTGCATATTTAGTAGGCTTACTTTGTAACATAATTTCCTACATGACACTCAGGTAAAAGTGTTGCCTATTTTCCTGACTCCAGTATTACTGTTCTTTCTTTTCCAGAAGATACGTACGAGCGAACACTGATTGTTGATGGGGAGAGTGCAACAATTATACTCCTGGACATGTGGGAAAATAAGGTATGCAGAGCCTGTAGCTCTCCGTAAATTCCTTCAGGGCTTGCCTTCCAACAGGCTGTTTGGTGCAAGGGTGACCTTGTCCTTTTCAGTGTTCTAGGTGAGGTGGGCTCATTTTCTTGATTAGCTTTTTTTTTTTTTTTTTTTCTGAAGTAGGAGACTGTTCTCAAGAAGAGGCCATTCACAAATGAGCTCTGAATAATAAGCAAGTTGCAGTGATTTGCCCTTAATTCTATTAAAAAAAAGACAAAAACGTCTGTCTGCTTTAGGAAAAGTGCCAAGAAGGATGGATGATCATTTAAAGCTATATAAAACCAGATTATATGAAGTTGACATTCTTTTTTTTTTTTAAAGATTTTATTTATTTATTTGACACAGAGAGAGAGAGCACAAGCAGGGGGAGTGGCAGGCAGAGGCAGAGGGAGAAGCACACTCCCCACAGAGCAGGGGGAGCCTGATGTGGGACTCGATCCCAGGACCCTGGGATCATGACCTGAGCTGAAGGCAGTCGCTTAACCAACTGAGCCACCCAGGCGCCCCTGAAGTTGACATTCTTAATACTCGTCTTCAACGTTTGCTTTTTAAAGATTTGGGGCTTCTGAGCCTCTATGCTAGATCTTCTCTTGGTTGGGAACCCTCTTCTCACAGAAGGATTTGAAATTTCATCAGTTGGGAAAAGGCAAAAGAGAGTTGTTGGAAGTCAGAGAGGGCTCATTTTTGGTAGATTAGCTAGAAATTGGAAATGTGGTTTGGCAAAGTCGTTGTATAATTTATCAACTCAAGCTATAGGAGGAACTGGATAGTAAAAACCTTAGGATACACAGATCGCTTCTTTGCGAAGGACGCTTCATTTCCCAGGCACACCGAGCTCAAGGAGTTTCTTCTCATTTTTTCAGGGGGAGAATGAATGGCTCCAGGACCACTGCATGCAAGTCGGGGATGCCTACCTGATTGTCTACTCCATCACAGACCATGCCAGCTTCGAGAAGGCATCTGAGCTGCGGATCCAGCTCCGCAGGGCCCGGCAGACTGAGGACATTCCTATCATTTTGGTGGGCAACAAAAGTGACCTGGTGCGGTGCCGGGAAGTGTCTGTATCAGGTGAGAGGGGTGGTGCCCCACCACGGACACCCTCTCGGGGTCACCTCCTTTTCCTTCACCTCCCTTTCCTTCACCAGTCTCCTACTTCCTTCTTTGCTTCTTCTTTCGTGAAGCTGGCACCAGGGACTCATTATTAAAATGCTCCGTGGAGTATTGTGTAGAAGATGCCAGCATTCCCAGCAGATGATCCCTGTGCTGATGGCCGCCCCCTTGTCCATCTGGGCTACTTGCTGGATTCCCATTTTCCCCAGCCTGGAATTGCTTGTGGGAAAAGATTATGCTGGGGGGGGTTGGATTTACTGGCACTCCCCAGCCTTTTCTCCTTGTCCTTTTCTCTTCTCTGGGGAGCTCTTAGGAGTTCAGGGAAATAGAAGTAGTGTCTTTATGTAAGAAGGATGGGAACTCTGATGTGGGGGCACTGTGGGAGTTTCAGTGAGAATAAGCATTCCACTCTGGCTGCCTCTGGTTCCTGGAGACCCTAGGAACACCGTCCCGCCCCTTGCCTTTTGCTTCCTAAGTTTCCGTGAAGGCATCAATCTGATGGTGTCACCTAGACATCTTCATGCGTAGTTCAGGGATATCGCCTATTTGCTGGGGACGGGGGGCCCTTGAGATTTTATTGTCCACATACAGATTTGGTTCCTGGTACAATGGTAAAAATTAAAACCCTGCATTGCCAGGCCCCACTCGGGAGGAAAGAAACCTGATGAAGACTTAATGTCTACAACTAGCTTGGGAATGTCTTACTCTTAGGAGACGACTGTCTACACTGATCATTTTTTTCTAAGCCAAACTTGGATACGTGGTCAGTGAACACAACGGAACTTTTGACACGGAGGCCGCTCCAGAAAAGCTTGTTTATACAGTGTGCTGGAGACTGTATTGTACATTTGTGAAATAATCAACATTTTTTCAAAATAACCTCATCAGAGCTTTAACATCATTTTTTAAGAGAGGAAAGTCAAAGAGTAGGATTGTTTTTCAATTCGGGGAAACTGAGTCAGCAGAAAGCGTTAAGAATCCGAGTGTGAGGATGAAGCAGGCCTGGATTCACTTCTGCCGCTTACAGGCTGTGTGAACTCCCTCATGTTTTTAAAGATCACCCCTGACCTCAGTTTCTTCACCTGTCTGGGAGGGAGAATGTGTTTTTCCAGTAACATGGTAAGTGCAGTAAGTGAAGGCTGCGGTTTTTACTGAGTTGGTGTTACCGTGGCTGATGCAGTTGGACCTCCACACAGTGCATCTGTGGTGGACCAGCTCTAGAGCCCACCTCTCCTGCTTGCGGGAAGCTTCCTGTGACCGCCTCCCTGTGTGCTGGGAGGACACTGTCACCACCATGTGGCCGCCTGACCTAGAGTTGCCCGGCGACAGCTCCGAATACGGAGCCCGCTAACTTGGCCTGGGCCATGGAGCCCCTCTGACTTTCTTCTCCCCTCCTTTCCTCCCCAGAAGGGAGAGCGTGTGCTGTGGTGTTTGATTGCAAGTTCATCGAGACGTCAGCGGCCGTCCAGCACAACGTGAAGGAGTTGTTTGAGGGCATTGTGCGGCAGGTCCGCCTCCGGCGGGACAGCAAGGAAAAGAACGAGCGGCGTCTGGCCTACCAGAAAAGGAGGGAGAGCATCCCCAGGAAAGCCCGGCGCTTCTGGGGCAAGATTGTGGCTAAAAACAACAAGAATATGGCCTTCAAGCTCAAGTCCAAATCCTGCCATGACCTCTCTGTGCTCTAGGCCCCCAGAGTCACCCCAGATGTCCCCCTATGGACATCGTTGAACACCATTGGGACCGATAATCTATATTAGATTGGATCCTTAAGTATTATTAGATAAGGTTTCCCCCATTGTAGCTGGGAATTAGCTTGTTAGCCTCAAGGGCAGCATCATGCATGGGAAACGAAAGATCTTTGTAAAATCAGTATTTATTTACAGGAAAAGCCTGACCTTGCTACCTGAACACCCAAGACTCATCAGAGGATGTGTTTGGGGTTCACATGTGTTTGCTCTCTCCTCTGGATAGTAGAGAATTGAAGCCTACAAAAGAATGCTCAGAACAAGAACTTTTTGTTATTAAAATGTCACCCAGTGTTCCGATACATGAATTTGAGGCCAGTGGGCCATAGACAAACACAGGAAAGCTGTCAAAGGATTTATCCAAAGGAGGGAGAATTTCTTTCTCTGTACCTTATATTTGTGGAGCTAGGATTGTAGAACCAGGCTCATCATAATCATGACTATTATTGCTCCATCAAGCTGTGAAAAGAAATGATGGACCTTCCTGGAAACTAAAGCTTAGTGAACAATTTTTGTTCCATGCCCATAGTTGGGGATCCAGAAATTTGTAGAATTGGGAACTGATAGGGGTACCACTTAAGGGATCAAAAATCATATCTTGGCTTTTGTGTCTTAAATTTTTTGTTGAGGGGAAAATTACTTAAATTCTACTTAGTCAAACCATCTTTTGTGTTTTCATTGTTTTTAAGGTCTTGGGGCCATCATGAATATATTTTAAAAATCTGAATTATTGATAACCTGGAGTGCAAAATGCCTAATTTTGAAATATAATCAGAGGTCTGAATTTTTATAAAACACAAAACAAATACTTCAGTATTTTGGGTTGACCCTTATATGCCACAGCTCTGCTCTATTTATTGTTATTTTGCAAAATAATAACCATTTTAACATTTGATAAAGCATATTTATGAACATATTTCTTAATAGGAAAAGTGTCCATTTTATTACCATTTTCTATCTTTTTCAGAATATGCAAGTTTTTACCTATATATCTTACAATAAAAGAAATAAAATCTTTGGGAAAAAAAGGCATTCTTAAATGTTTTTTCCTCCCCAAATAAGACGATTATGATTCTTTGTTTGTTTTTAGAGCAAGCACACTCTACAGAAACATACCTGTTATTTTATTTCTTCTTTTCATTGGTGGTAGCCCCATTGTTATTTGTTTCAAAGACTATCCCTGACATCTCTCCTTCGGAACCATGACTCACAATAATGCAGAGTTATTTTTGGCTAATACAGTTGGGAAGTATTTGGGGTCCTCTAAATGCTAAGTACAATAAAAGCCAGATTGATCTTTTACTTTGGCAAATTCCTGACTGAACAGATGGACCTTTGCTCCCCAAAGGCTCATGGCCCTAAGCTTGACTAAAGCATTAGAGGAAATTAGATTAGGGGGCAAAGAAGGAAAAAAAAAAAAAAAAGGTGGTTTTCAGCCTGCAATCTACCAGGCATGACTGTAACCAAATTCTCCTTGATGGCATTAATATCAGTTTGACCTTCCCGTGGCTGCGTGTGACCCCTTGCTGGAGTGGGATGACCCGGTGTCCCCCTTTCACATCAGTGGCCCCTGCGTGTACCTTCTGGCACCTCCCCTCCCTATGTTTCTGAATATCGCCTAAAGCCACAGCCTTAGAACTCAGTTCTGCTGGCCCGCTCTCCTTTTTCCAAATCCAAATTGAGCATGAGGTGCCCATCTCTGTGCACTTGGCCTCTTCGCAGTGCTCGAGGAAACAGTCCAGGGAGAGGATAAGAGTGAACATTCAGGCAATGTCACTGCCATTTAACATCAGTGTGTCTTTGGAGCAAAGGCGAAACCTTTGTGACCATCAGTTTTCTCCTCTGCAAAATGGGGTTGTTACTAATACCTACCTGTAAGATTGTGTGAGATGAACATCTTTTAATCTGCTAAACATGAAGAGCTCAAGAGACGTCTGCTTTCATTGTCATACGCCTTCCATTCTGCATAAATCAGTTTTATGTTTGCCTTTCCCCAGATGGAATGGAAACTCCTTAAAATCAGGGACGGCTATTTCTCCCTTTTACCGCTATACTCTTCAATGCAGTCCCTCGTGTATATTGGGCCTTTATCTGTTTCTTCGTAAATAGACTTTCCAAATGGCCCATGAAGTTGACAGGCCATTTTACAGCAAGCAAGTTCAGGGGGATAGATGGCTTGTCCCAGTTCAGATGTTGTGTCTGGGCTTGGAGTAGAGTCCAGATGTGACTCGGAGTCCTTTGCATCTTTCAGGATCCCAAACTGTTTCCTATAGACACAGCTCTTTTCATCCCCTGGTGCCACCAACACACACCACGTGGTACCACCTCCACACATCACCCCCCCCCCACATCCATAGCACACACTCCACACAATACCACACCCCCACCCACGCTACGCACCACACACATGCACACCATACACACACGCCACACATCCCATACCCCACCCACATCCCCCACGCCGCACATGCCCCTCCCCAGAGCACACGCATAAACACGTACATACAGCAATCACAGCACATATATCCCATACCACTCACCCCCCATCCCACATACATAACACCACACACACACACACACACACACACACACACACACACACACACCCTAAACATACATTCTTTAGGCTATTCTCTCTTCTCCTAGATTCAACCATCCTAGTCACTTCTAACCTTCCCAGCCAAATGGCCAACAGCTGCCAAGACTCTCAAGCTGAAGGGCCTGTTGAGGATTGTCCCACGGGGCCTCCCTCAGCTTGAACCAGGGCAGGACAATACAGGGTGCATTCCAGTCTTAGAGGCTTTCTGGGGAAGAGCTACAGCTCTGGAGTCAGACAGACTTGGTTTCACTCTGGTTTCATGACTTAGATGTGTGACCAGGAGGAACTTCTTTATCCTCTCAGCCTCAGTTTCCCATCTGTGACATGGGAATAACAATGACACCTGCTTCACAGGGTTGTGGTAAGGATGGTGGAGACCTGCAAAGGTTATCATCCTGCGAGGACTTCTAACGAGGCGTTTATGCCTTCATTCCCTCGTGCATCCTTCAACAGGATGGGGCACCTGGGCACCGCTGGGTGCTGGGAATATAATGACAAAGACATTATCCAGGTCCTCAGAGCCCCCCAAAATTGTATATTTGCCTGTCCCAAGAAGCTAGAGAAGGTGGCTTTGGCGGTGGGAAGAAACTGAAAAAACCATGGGAGGGTTATACCAGGAAGGGTCTGGATTTGCTGTCATTAGATAAGATTCAAATGAAGGAAAACATTATTAATGATTGGATTTGATGTGGGAAAGTAAATTGGGCTTTTTAAAAAATTTCCATTTTGGGGAAGTGGGAACATTGGGGAAGAGTTGGTTTTTAAGCATCCTACATTGTTGCTCGCTAATACGTGAACTATTCAGTACAGGGAAAGGCAGATGATTATGAGTTCACTTGGCTAAATCTGTGGAGCTCTTGCTGTGCAAGGGGCTGTGGAGAATACATGGTACGAGAAGGAGGTTGTGATACATTAGTGGGAAGTGGGCACAGTGGTGAACAAGGACAACTGCACAAAAACCCAGAATAGGATGTAGAAGATAAGCAGGAGCAGCAGAGACGTGAAGTAAGGCAGTTGGAGCTTGGGTGGGAGAAAGAATTCCTTCCTTGGCCGGTGTAATCATGAATGTCTTCCTGGAGGAAGTGCCATTGAGCTTGATCTTGAAGGCTATTCAAGATTTCCACAGGTAGGGGCACCTGGGTGGCTCAGTCAGTTAAGCGTCTGCCTTTGGCTCAGGTCGTGATCTCAGGGTCCTGGGATCGAGCCCCGCATTGGGCTCCCAGCTCCGTGGGGAGTCTGCTTCTCCCTCTCCCTCTGCCTGCCCCTCTGCCTACTTGTGCTCTCTCTCTGTCAAATAAAAAATCTTAAAAAAAAAAAAAAGGTTTCCACAGGTAAAATGCAATTAGTTAAGGATCTCAAGATGAAATCTTTCTGGAGTTAGGGTAGGCCCTCAATCCAATGAATGCACAAAGGAGAGAGAGAGACTTGGACACAGAAGAGACACACAGGGAAGAGGCCCGCATGAAGATGGGGCAGAGACAGGAGTGATACAGCTGTAAGCCAATATAAGTACCAAGGAATGCCCGGGACCACCAGGAGCTGGGAAGGGAAGGAAGGATTCTCCCCTAATGTCTTCCAAGTGAGTATGGCTCTGCCCACATCATGATTTTAGATGTTTAGCCTCCAGAACTGCAAGAGAATACATTTCTGTTGTTTTTTAAGCCACCAAGTTTATGGTAAACTCAGCAGCCCTAGGAAACGAAATACTTTGGGTTATTTAGGGCAACTTACTTAGCAGCTGTAAGCCTCAATTTCTTCATCTGAAAAACAAGGATAATACCTATCTCAAAGGATTACTGTGAGGATTAATTGGAAAGGGCTTAATGTATCATCTGTCCAGGAGGTGGGAAGTGAGCAATCTGCAAGGGAAGATGGGGAGCAGTTGCAGAATAGGTCGATTTCCAGACTGAGAGGTTCGACTTGGTTCAGAAGACGATGCCGGCGCTCGAATGTTTCCAAACAAGGATGTGCCGGGCCAAGTGGCACCGCTTCAGCACATGGCCCAGGGGAGCTGACTGGCAGGAACCAGAAGGCATGAGATGGCCCTGTGAGGAGCTCGGTGAGGAAGCCACCGGGGCACGGAGCCTGGTGCAGGCGGGAATGCGCTGCAGGCAGAGCGAGGGCGCTGTTCATCGGAGGCAGCAGCCCCCCAGAAAGTCCAGGATGGGCTTCCGGGGCGCAAGCGTCTGGCAGCGTTCAGGTTTTGTACAGGGAGGGCTCGCAGAGCACTGAGGCCCGACGCCGGCCACAGCAGACAGCGGTGCGGATGCCTCGGACAGCGGGGGGACGGCCGCTGAGGGGGGCAAACGCAGGAGTAAGATCGCCCTGGAGTCAGGGCTCGGCTTCTGACTTTGCGACTGTCTGGAAAACAGTCCCGGGGCAAGAGACCCTAAACCATCGGTCCTTGTGCGGCCTAACTTCCTGGGAAACGGGGAAGGGAACACGGCACACCTGCTTTTCTTATAATACGGCTAGGCACAAATGTATGCAAACAAGGGCTGGAGGCTTTTGGCGAAGGCTGGCAGGGCGCACAGGTGGCTCTGCGTGGGTGTGCACATGGAGGCTTGCACGTGTGCACGCGAGTGCATGCGTTGAGTGTGTGTGCGCGCGCGTGCATGTTCGGGGGTACAGGTGGGAAAGAGAGGTCTCACAGTTAAAGGAGAAGTAGAGTACTGCCATTAGAGGAACTTCAAACATCAACTAGACTCATCTTGCTCCACTTTTCAGTATATGCCACAAATGGGGCTGGGCGGTCTTACTATCGCAGCGTCCACCAAGGGAATGGAGTACTCAAGAGGTGCATGTCCTTTCTGAAACTCAGGACGAGTTGTCATTTAAGTTTGCTGGGATTGTGGTCAAAGAAGTCAGATAAAAATGTGCCAGGGCACCTGGGTGGCTCAGTCTGTTAAGCGTCTGCCTTCGACTCAGGTCATGATCTCAGGGTCCCGGGATCGAGTCCCGCGTCGGGCTCCCTGCTCAGCGGGGAGTCTGCTTCTCCCTCTGCCTGCCACCCCCTCCCCCAACTTGTGCTCTCTCTGACAAATAAATAAATAAAATCTTTTAAAAATAATGTGTCCGTGCCTTCGGCTGTGCTGTTTTTAACTACTTGAATCGAAGTAGAGAAGCTAACCCCTTACTGTCAGCATTTAGAAACATGGAAATGTGGGGGCACTGAGAAGTGCCCCGTGTCTTACTGGTATCACCCAGAGGCCGGAGGGCAGCTGTTTGACTTGGAGAAATCGGCTGCCTTGTGGGGAATTTGAAAGCTTTGGAAGGCGCTTTTTGGAAAGGCGTTTGCAATTTTATACCCATATGCACACACAGACATGGATGCATATACGACCAGACCTACAGATGCATGTGGGCGGGTTCACACACACACATTTACACCAGCCTCGTCTGAAGGCAGGGAGTGCTCGTAGTACAGAG